TTATTCTGATGACTCTGTGTGGTTTAATATGAAACACTGTACCTAGTACACCTTTATATCTTTGTTACTGACGAGTCAAGAGACCCCGGGTAATAAAGAACTTTAGCATGTCTTCAAAGCACGTGATGCAATATGTAAAACTAGAAAGGTCACAAGTGACTTCCTTCTGAAGGTTACTTCCTCTACGTAACTGTGTCTCCACGCAGAGTTACGGTCCTTGCACTCCCTTTGATTGGAAAGGAACGACAACTCTGGGTAGAGATTGGCGCTTAGTAGCTAGATCGCACAGGTAGCTGGTCTAGCTTCCGGACGATATTATATGACATTTGTGATTATATGACAGTTGTGATATCATGGCGCACAGTTGGCGAGATTGTCAGGTACGGTATACCGTTTGCTTTCACGCCGGACAGGCTGAATGTGGGCGTGTCACGAGCGAAAACAAGTATACTGCTATACAACTGATAGTTGGCTGGCTTGCCTGCCTTTAATTAGCCAATCGATCCGATCAGTCGCTTATTTAAATATATGTATAATAATATTGGTTAACAAAGGTTCAGACAATTTGTTAAAAACAATTGTTTATAAAACGAGGGTTTTTGAAATACAAACTCATCTTTCCAACATTTGATGAGGCAAATATGTTTGATGTTTGTAGGAACAGCAGTTATATATCTATTTTTGATAATATTTTAGTAAATGAATTACAAAATACATTGTATATGCCAAAACACTACCAACTTTATAGAATGTAAATAGATATGCAAAAATAATGGTTTGTGACTGAATAAATTAAATGTTAGTAATTTTATACATATTTTGTCACATGAGAAAAATATATAATTATGGTTTTTAGTGGGAAACCATTATATTTTTGGATAAATGTATTAAGTTTTGCTTTGTGTACGAAATTATTTAACCTAGATCCATTGTTTTTTCTTTGTCAACCTAATAGAACCGAAGCATAAATATCAACCTCTGAAACCTTGCATTTCCAATGAGGGAGAAAGTGTGTGAAATGGGACTGAAACTGCNATTTATTTGTTCAGACACACCTGTTATGGCCATTACACACACCCTGCAGTAACTAGGAGATCATGTGATCACAGGATGTAGATTTTGAGTTTGTGTGAGTTTGGTCTTGAATGAGGGAGTTTCGAGTAAGATTGGTAAATTTTGGTCAAAACAAGGGAGTCTCCCTCCTAATGAGGGAGGGTTGACAGCTATGGGAGGGAGTGACTCCCCTAATGAGGGAGGGTTGACGGCTATGGGAGGGAGTCTCCCTCCAAATGAAGGAGGGTTGACAGCTATGGAAGGGAGTCTCCCTCCTAATTAGGGAGGGTTGACAGCTATAGGAGGGGGCCTCTCTCCTAATGAGGGAGGGATGACAGCTATGAGAGGGAGTCTCCCTCCTACTGAGGGAGGGGTGACAGCTATGGGAGGGAGGCTCCCTCCTAATGAGGGAGGGTTGACAGCTATAGGAGGGGGTCTCTCTCCTAATGAGGGAGGGTTGACAGCTATGAGAGGGAGTCTCCCTCCTACTGAGGGAGGGTTGACAGCTATGGGAGGGAGTCTCCCTCCTAATGAGGGAGGGTTGACAGCTATGGGAGGGAGTCTCCCTCCTAATTAGGGAGGGTTGACAGCTACGGGAGTCTCCCTCCTACTGAGGGAGGGTTGACAGCTATGGGAGGAAGTCTCCCTCCTAATGAGGGAGGGTTGACAGCTATGGGAGGG